AAACAGTCAGTCAATTAACCAGCTCCTCCGAAACAAAACAGGCTTTTTTTTGTTCTGCGGTTCTCAGGATAATGAGCTTGATGGGCTCGCTTAGAAGCCAAAACCGCCAAAAGTTTTTCCTGTTTTCCCCCAGCTGTCTGGGAATGGACATTTCCCGCCACACCTGGGACATTCACTGGTTAAGGACTTTTCCCATTTGCTTTCTTTCCCAAAGAAGGGTTAAGCCAGTCACAGCACTGCAGCAGATGCCCTCTCACCTCCCTCCAGCCTTCTCTTGGGAGGTACTGGATTTTTCTGAATCCATCATCCCTCAAGATTTGGCTACGGAGACTGCGAAAAGGAAAGTTAGCAAACTTTAAACTGATTCTAGTTTTGATCTTAGCCAAAAGACTGTGCCAGAGTGTTCAAAAGTAATAGTGTTAATTTGCTAGCCATGTAGGTTCATAGATAGATGGAGCCTGGGAAAGTGGCTAATTAAGGTGACTAAGCTACCAAAAGTTGGAACGTGTGAATTCCCCCATTTTTGTTTTGCATATTCTGTTTCTAATTGCTCTCACTTGTGTAGATGGACATAAGATGTTAAGAAGGGAGTAAAAATAGATGTTTCTCTGGCAAACAGACTGAAAAAAGAGGAGTTTCAAGGGAGAGCAGAGTTTAGGGCTTTTTATGGGGTGAGAGAAACCTGCGTTGCATAAGCAGTGATGAGGGCATGCTGGGGAGGAAGGGAAAAGCCCTGAAGTGCCAGGGAGTGCAAAAACCAGAGGCAGGTTCTCTCTTTTCCAAGGCGCTCTGACCTCACCATGACAAGGCTTGGGAGAAGGGAGGGAGGCAAAAGCAGAGAAAGGGAAAGCTAAACAAATAAATAAAGAGAACCTTTCCCTCGTCTCAAGCTGTGATCTCCAAATCCCCCTACTTGCTCCCAGGCAGCTTGCATGGAGGTTCCTGCCAGGGCTCTAGTAGCAGCTGTTCTCCGAGGCACATTCCTGATGGCTTTCTCATTCCAACATCCTGGCAGAGTCAGCTTCTTCCCACCACTTTTAAGCCTGCCGCCCCTTGTAAAATTTTCTGGATATCAGAGCAGATCTTTTACTGGCTCTCGGGACCTACAAACATTAGTCAATCAAGTTCTTGTGGAAAAAAAAAAAAGACACACACACACACACACACACACACATCCACACATGCAGCCATCCAGCAGGGAATCTTCTACCACCTTATAGTCTTACTCCTGTCTCAATAGAGTTTTTAAGGCCAAGAGACGTGCTTTGGATTAAAGATGGCTGTAATAACAGTAGGGCCAGCTGAGATCAGGGTTTCTGGGTGTTAAGGGCCATGCCGACATCTACCCATCTATCTTGTCCCCAAAAGCTTATCATGTTAACATGTAAAATGGGAAGCAGACATGTGAAAAGTATTTTGTGACCCATAGTCACAAAAGAGACTCTAGAGCAGCCTTCGCTGCTCCTCAGTGTCTGGTCATTGCTTCATCCATCTTCTGGATCTCAGTGCCACTTGTCTGCTGCGCAGCCATGGCTGGACAATCCCCTGATCACACCCAAGTCTCTGAATCACAGCTCAGGTGTTGCTACCGGGCTTTCTTACTCTTACCGCATATACACAACATCCCTGCACTAGAATCCCATTTTGCTAATCACCGTACAAGCACTGAACAAAAACAAGCGGGCCTATCCATCTCTTTGCTTCCTTCTCCTCCTCACCTCTTTGCTTTACCATGTGAAAGGTGAACTTAGCTAAGCCTCATTCGTTCTCTCTGATACCTGAGTATTCACGAACCATAATCTCTTCTACATGAAAAGCTGATAGCTCTGTTAAACTTTATTGGCAGGCCTCAGAGTCTGGCTGGTCATGCAGCTGTCCCGCTAAGTGGAAGTTTGACACGTTGACAGCTAATAAAATTCACAAGCTGAACAACAACGGGGGGGGGGGGGGGAGGGGCGTGGGGGGGCAGACTTTTTGGGTGGGGGTGTAGGGAGCAGTTCCAAGCTCCGGTTTCTCATCTGCTAGGAAGATCATGGGAGGGTGAGCAATACTTTTGCAAGGTCACTGCAGTGTCTGTATGGTTGAGACGCGGGATTCCAGCAGTCAGACTTCAACACACCCAAAGATATGAGCCATTAAAAGGTTAATCCCAAACTGAGCATAGCCAGGGACAAGACTGCCATGGATTTCCGGAAGGATCAGGATTACAGTGCCAAATCCATGCCCAGCGAGGCCACCAGTGGAAATTCCCACTGACTTGTTTTTGTCTTGACTCATGTGTCCACACTAATTGTCCAGTACTGAAGAAATTCTTGCCCATCTGCAAGCTCCCATTTCCACCCTTCCAGAAAACAAGCTGTTGAATGCCAAGCGTTCACGGATTTAAAAATTAAGTCTAACAGCTAAGCAATTCACTTAGCGAATTTAATGGAAGCTTTGATTTTGATCTTGAATGTATTCTGGGGTTTTACACCAGTTTTTGCAATTATCTAACTGATGATGTCAAAGTTTTTATGTGGAAAAAAACCCTAAACGGGATTCTGTGATAATTTTGAAACTTTTCTCCCTGGCATTTCTAGAGAAGGGAGATTTTTCAGAACAACTCTTTTCTCATAAACAGTTTAGCTTTGTCAGTACAGTGTTTTTCAATAGAATCATAGAATCATAGAATAGTTTAGGTTGGAAGGGACCTCTAAAGGTCATCTAGTCCAACCCCCCTGCAACAAGCAGGGACATCTTCAACTAGATCAGGTTGCTCAGAGCCCCGTCCAACCTGACCTGGAATGTTTCCAGGGATGGGGCATCCACCACCTCTCTGGGCAACCTGTGCCAGTGCTTCACCACCCTCAGCATAAAACATTTCTTCCTTATCTCTAGTCTAAACCTACCCCCCTTTAGTTTAAAGCCATTCCCCCTTGTCCTGTCGCAACAGGCCCTGCTAAAAAGTTTGCTGCCATCTTTTTTATAAGCCCCCTTTAAGTACTGACAGGCTGCAATAAGGTCTCCCCAAAGCCTCCTCTTCTCCAGGCTGAACAACCCCAACTCTCTCAGCCTTTCTTCATAGGAGAGGTGTTCCAGCCCCCTCATCATTTTCGTGGCCCTCCTCTGGACCCGCTCCAACAGGTCCGTGTCTTTCTTATGCTGAGGGGTCCAAAATAGTTTTGTCAGGAAATTCTTGTCTAGGTGTAGAAATGACTTCTCAAAGCAATGCTAATGTCAAAAGAGACACCAGATACATCAGTCATGGGTCTAGGGACTTGAAACTAATCCTTCTCCTAGATGATCCCATTTGTGGATCTGTTTGCCCAAATGTGTTGCATTTTTAAGGCTAGTTACCAACAAACCCCAGTGCTTATTTCTGTTTTTTACTTGAACAATACCGACATAAAGAAATATAAGGTAAAACAAAGCAGTGCATATACCCAAATTGTCCTTAGGTCAGCACCTCAATCCTGAGTCACTTAGAAATTTGAGCACTGAAAATGTTTTTCACAAGTAGACTTTGGTGCATAGGTTCCCATGCAAGCAGCCCATCTCCATTTTTCCTGGTGCTATAATGATGTGGCAGGCTCCAAAGTATGATCTCAACAAACTTTCCCAGAAATCTACCAAAATTGTTCCCAAAAAATAGATGGTGGCTTTTGCTTCTCAGCATCACCTGCAGATGATTCAGATGGTCGTACCACAGGCAGCTGGGTACAAGCATGCATACCACTAGCAAGTACGTTAATCCTAGTTCCTATGGTTTGGGCAGTGGGTGCTTTCTGGAAATAAATAAGAAGTGCGAAGGGGTGGGTGCGTTATGATGCTGATGTCTGTTATTAATCCCCAGGAAATTCCATGCACTGAGAAACCGTTATTTCAATAACAAAATTAAACTAGACAGCAGGAGTCGCAACCCAATGCTTTATTGATCATTTTTATGATGGGTACCATTGTGATTTCTGCCTGGGAGAAAATGGATGTTTCATTTAATAAAAAGGCTCAAAGCAATTCTGTCTCTGAAATCTCGGTGCATTTCTAGGCTACTCACATAATATGTATTTTATGACACAGTTTCAAACTGTAGTAAACAGCCA